GCAGTGAAGGGGGAGGGCAGGCCACAGGGCAGGGGGCAGAGCAGTGAGGGGGGGGCCCAGGCTGCATGGCAGGGGGCAGAGCAATGAGGGGGGGCCCAGGGCCCAGGGCAGGGGGCAGAGCAGTGAAGGGGGAGGGCAGGCCACAGGCCAGGGGGCAGAGCAACAGGGGGGGGCCCAGGGCCCAGGGCAGGGGGCAGAGCAATGGGGGGGGGGCCCAGGGCAGGGGGCAGAGCAGCAAGGAGGGGAGGGAACCCAAAGGGAGCTGGCCTGAGACCAGGTTGGGCAGGGCGAGGGGATGGCACACAGGGCGGGATGAGATGGTGACACCCAGGAGGCCTGGGCCTGCACCAGTGCCTGGGGAACATCTCAGGGGGACTGGGGAAAAGGCGATGGTAGGGAGGAGGCTGAAGTCACTGGACACTGAGAAGAGGGCAGGGGAAGGCGAGAGACACAATGAGACGGGAGCTGGCGGAAGGAATGAGGGAGCTGTACAGGAGGACAGGGCGCGAGCCAGGGAGGGGCCTGGGAGGCCTGACTTGCCTGGGGACCAGGTCTTTGCCAAGGACCACCGCAGTCACAAACTCCTTGGAGTACTCCATGGCATCCTCGCTGCGAAGGAACCCACAGCCCACAGTCAAGGGCTAGGTCGAGAACCTCTGGTCATCCCGAGGACCTCGGCCACTCGAGGCCCTTCGCCAGGCCGCCCATCGCCCCTTTCCATCCTTCCCGCGTCCTCTCCAGCCAACCCGCAGACACGGCACTCCTGCTCCCTCTGAGTCTGTCTGCCACACCATCCGTGCTCAGACCCTGCCTCTGTGCCTGTTTCCGATCCCAGGTGGCAAGGCCGCTTTGTTCTTGAGCCTCACACAGAGTGCAACGGCCTCGTAAAATGTACCATTTTTTTCTCCTGGACTTTCCATTGTGCGTGCAGGGAACTTCTGGTATGGAAATTCCCTTCGCCCAATGCGACGGGAAGTTCACCTCTAACCTATGGTTTCATACGGTTGCCTGGAATGCTGGGAAGTTACATATTTTCCCCCAGTCCCACAGATAGTGTGCGTCAGAGCGGAGATTCAAACCCAAGGCTTACAACTCCAAGGCCGGCCTTGTACCCACTAAATTACACTACCTCAGCTCTACTGTACTGCAGTAATACGGAATAAGGGGCAGTTAGGGGGCGCCACCGTGCACAGAGCGCTGGGCCTGGAATCAGGAAGACCAGAGCTCAAATCTAGTCTGATACTTCCTAGCTGAGTGACCCTGGGCAAGTCACCGGACCCTGTTTGCCTCAGTTTCCTCATCTGGAGGAGGAAATGGCAAACCACTCCAGTATCTTTGCCAAGAAAACCCCAAATGAGGTCATGGAGAGTCGGACGCAAGTAAAACAACTGAACAACAAAAAGTAGTATGTTATATATATACACACTATATATACGTATGTATGCGTGTATGTGTGCATGTATGTATACACACACACACCCCCCCATAGTTGAATGCAAGCTTCCCAAGGACAGGAGCCACGTCTTGCCTAAACTCTTGCTTTCATCCAGGCCTGGCCCAATGCTTTGAGTACAAAAGCCTTATAATTAAAAATAATAATAATAATAATAATAATAGTGATAGCTAAAATTTACGGAGTGCCTATGTGCCAAGCGCTTTACAAATATTATCTCATCCAAACCTCATAACCACTCCAGGAGGAAGGTGCTAGCATTATCTCCATTATACAGATGAGGAAACGGAGGCAGGCAGCAGGTAAGGACTTGCCTGGCGCCGCACAGCTAGTGGGTGTGTGAGGCCAGATTTGACCTCAGGTCTTCCTGACTCCAGGCCCAACAGCGGTTCTTTCTTGCACACTAGCTGCCTAACTCCCTAAAGAATGGAATGATCTTGAGGACAGTGGCCCAGAGCTGGTTGGAGGTCGCTCCTTGGGGGAAGGACTGGGGTCCAGAAGCCGAGCCTCTTTCTGTCCCCTGGCTGGTCTCTAAGCCTTCTCTACCACCCTGCTCCCCACCTTCCACCCTCCCGGGATCGGGCGGCAGGCAGCTCTCCAGGTTTCCCATTCCCATTCCCAGGCCAGCTGCTGTCTCCCCTGGGCTCGCTGGAGCCGAGATAGAGCCAAGGAGCCCAAACCTCTCCGTGGATTTTCTAAGCATCGGCAATGCCTCCTGCCTCCCTTTACCAGGTCTGACCCCCAGAGGCGTGCCCCAGCCCTCCCCACTGGGCTCCAAGACCACAAAGCCTGCCTCATTCCCACCCGTGGCACCTGCCTACCTCAGCAAGCCCCCCGGGGGGGAGTAGGCAAAGCACTTGAGAGTTGGGTACTGAGGGCGCAGGAGGAAGGAGAGGATGGCCGCGGTGCCCGCACCCAAAGAGTGGCCCACCACAATCAGGCCGTAGTGCTTGGTTCCTCTGCCCTGGGGGAGAGAGGTGAGGTCAAACACCTTGGGCCCCCTCCTCCACTAAGCCTGCTCCCTTGGGGGCTGAAGGACCTGGATGTGGGCTCCACAGAAAGCTCTCCTCCCAAACCACCAAGCCATTACCCAAGGAGGATGCTGTGAGTGATGGTTGGCAGGGAGTGCCCTTAGGGCCCAGGAGGTTGGGGGTGCCCCGGGGGAGGGGCCTGGCTCCTCAGGTGGAAAGAACTCACCAGATCCCGCCCAAAGGCTTGCGAGAGGACCATCTCTTGCTCTAGCTTCTTTTTGATATATTCAGCAGAGAGGACCATCCCCTAGGAAGAGGGAGGCATGGGTGAAGAGGCCCCTCCTTTGACACCCACACTCCTCTTGGGCCCCTCCCATTCACAGCCAACAGGATGGCGAGAGACACAGGCAAAGGTCACTGGAGGACAGGGTGGGCCCTGCCCTGACCCTAAAGTCAGGGGGGTAACATCAGCAAACCTTATCTGCTCACAATGACGACCAGTCCCTAAGGGGGCCTGGGAGGTGCCTGTTTCTCTTAGGAGAGGGCCCTGAAGCAGTCCCCATCCCAAAGGTCCCAAGGCAGGATGCTGAGAGCGGCCAGGAGAGGAGGGGGTGGGAGGTACCTTGTGTCCCAGCCACGTGCCATGGTGGCCCTCCACGGGGAGACGCTCCGCATCGCCAGTCAGATCTGTCAGGGCATCCTTGGAGAAGAGTCCAGACAGGTCAGTGATAAGAGCAGGACCTGGGGAAGGGGGGTCTGGGAACGAGGAAGGTGCCGAGGGGCTGGCGGGGAAGAGGACTCAGGAAGCCAGGACCCTCCCTTCCTCTGGGAGGTATCCAGGGGCCACCTTCCCGACGCCCTCCCTCCAAGCTGCCTGCTCTGGTTAGCTGCACTCGGTCGCTTTATAACCGCTGTCGTCTACACTAACCCATGTCCTCGCCACGAGCGGTATCGCTTCCTCATCTGTCCTCATACGCCCAGCCCCGGCACCGTGCCTGGCACGCAGTAGGCGCCTCATAACAATTTGTTGGCTTACTACGGGCCGAACGACCGAAGGGAAGCAGAAGGCTGGGGCCGTGTACCTTTGGGGACAGGGTTCCTCGGATACTGATCACCACTTTCTTCTTGTCGTGGTCCACGGCCACGTAGAAGGGCGTCTCATAGACCTAGGAAGAGGGTAGGGCCAACGAGTCAGTGAGGGTCCCTCTCTTGGCAGAGGCTAATGTTTGGGGGGAGCAGTGAGGTCACATTAAGGCTCCAGGTGCTGGCCCCCAAGGTTGGCTGGGCTCCCCAGCGTGCTCTCAGAACTCAGCTCACGGCCCTAACCAAAGCAAGGAAAGCCGAACTCCCGCCAGCCATCCCCTCCTCCCAGGCTTTTGCTTGTGCTGCACCCCTCTCCAGAATGCCCTCCTCGGCTCCTCTGCCTCATCCGGTCTGTTCTCTAAGGACTGAGTCCTCCACGAAGCTTTCCCCACTTGACCAGCCTACTCTCATCTCTCTGTCTCAGAACTCCTCCAGCCCTTCTGGTCTGTCCCACACAATTTCACACTTTGCTATCTCCTCTCATACTGTTCTCCCATTGGCGCCTGTGCAAAACTCGACGTCCTCCACCAGCCCGGGGGGCAGGGCCCCGTCTCTTCTCCTTCTGAACCCCCTCAGTGCCTACTGTGGGGTTTGTAGATTGACTCGAGAAAGAGTTTTCTTTCTCGGCTCACACACGCCGGGGAGCAGGGCAGGGGAGGGCAGGCAGGGGACGCCTTTAGGCCACACAGCTGCAGAAGGGAATTCAGAATGAAGACGTCCCCAAGGCAAAGAAAGGGCTGAAGCCGAGTGAGGACAGGGCTAAGGGGCGAGGACCGGGGACGTCACTTGTCCAGGGCTCTCACACCATCACCTTCCTAGTTCTGACCCTGGTCACCTGGGCACTGCCAGGCTCAGAGGGTGGGGAGGGGAGCCGCACACTTCCACAACGTGCTCCTCGGGCTCAGTCTGACCTCTCGGCTGTTGGGCTGTTAGGCCAGAATGGAGGGTGTAGGGAGGAGTCCTATTTCTTCCCTGGAGCTAGGATAAAGCAGGGGGATCATTCGCTATTGGCTGGGGCCGGAGGGGCCCGCCTGCGTCCTGCCCCTCATCACAGATCCCCCACCTGGTGAGGCTGGCCCTGTGCCCCCTCCCCCAGCCCTCTCACCGCATCGTGGCAGGAGGTGTAGACGATGTCCACCGAGCTCATGTTCTCATCCAGGAAGTGGCGGCGGATGGCCATGGCATTGCAGCCACAGCAGTTGTCCTCTTCGATGGTGACTCCAGGGGCAAAACGGGGGCGGGAGGGGCACAGGCAGCACCTGGGAGGGGAGACCAAGGAGTTGTGGGGGAGAGAGAAGAGGCCCGAATCCAACAAGGGGTGCAGCTCTACTCTAGGCCACCAGAGGGAGCAAGCATCCAACCGATTCCTCACCAAGAGCCCGGCCTCTTTGGGTCTTGGAGAGATGGCTGGGGCTTTATTAAGAAGCCTGGGTCCTAGCGCCTTAAAGAAGCCTGTCCTCACTCCGAGCTACACACCGTGCGGTTGCGAGGCCTGCTCTAGGCGCGTCAGGGCCGAAACCAAGTTCCATAGGATGCGATGGCTTCCACTAGGACCAGCTGGTTGGTTGGGGAAGTCCATGAGAGGCTGCTAGGGACGTGCACGCAAGGGAGGGCTCCTGGCAAAGTCCTGCTGCAATGTGACCGCCCCCCTGCACCCAGGCGAGCCCGAGAGAGAGAGCTGATGGCCAGGGCTGGGAGAGCAGCCTCTTAGGTCCTATTTCCAGGGAGTCACACTGCCTGGCCAGGGACCGGTAGGCCCATCGTCTCTTCCCCCCACACTCTGCCCCTTTCCTGGAGGGCTGATAAACGTGAGTCCAGGCGGGATGAGAGACGGATGAACCAGTCTAATTCCACTTTCTTCATGAAACCTTGCTTGACTATTGCCCTGGGGGCAGTGGACTTTCCCCTCACTATCCCAATCCTGGGACCCTCTTTGTACTCATGGCAGAATTTCAAGCTGGAAGGAAGCTTAGAGCTCATCACTGAACGAGGCAGCAGAGCACAGGGGGCAGAGCCATTATCAAGACCTCCCACGCAACTTCCTCGTTAGACACTTGCTCGTGGTATGACTCTGGTCAGGACATTTAACCTCAGTTTCCTCACATGTCAGATTTCCCAAGCTTACTGTGAAGGTCAAATAACATATGCAAACTGCTTTGGAAACTTTAACTCTACATAAATATTCTTATCCTCATCATTATTATAGATGAGGAAACCAGCTCCCCTACTGACAATATGCCTTGGAGATAAACACACTCGTTCTGTCTTCCTCACAAAGCTGTCAGGAGAAAAATCTCGTGCACACTTGGGACTCCGACCCCTCAAGGACTAGAGAGGGCCGATGGCGAGGCCTCCTGACCCAGGGCAGGACGCTGGGGCACTTGAGGGGCACAAGGGGAGTCCACTTGGGCCATTACTGATTTGTTGTGCTCAGCTATTCGCTCATTACAAGGGAGAGTTCTCTCGGGGAGGGAGCAGTAAGTCACTGGTAAATGGTAGTAATTTCAAAAACAGAAAAAAAAATCAATAAAACATCTAAAAATTTTTTAGGAAGATGGTGGGGGGATGGGGAGCCTGAGCACACACCTCTACTAACCCATGCTGAAGGATGCTGTCAAGAGGAAAAGCTTTATAAAGACTATTTCAGTCACAAGATTAAGGTCACGCTTTCAACTCAAAATTATTCAAATCTGGCTAGAAACACCATCATGAAGAAAGGCTTGCAGGGCTCAATTATTGGCTATTTTTGCTTATTAGGGTTATTAGGAATTAGGGTTTCAACAAAAATAAAGCGCTTTATAAACTTGTCAAGAAGTATATACGTGTATGCTACATTACTGACGAAGTTAGCAGCAAATCCTGCACTCCAGTCTAAGTTTTCTTGTTCCATATTCTGGGCTCTTGATTCTACCATATTGCTTTTGTTTATTTCTATGATAGGGTGTGTGTGTGTGTGTGTGTGTGTGTGTGTGTGTGTGTGTGTGTTCACGTGCGGACATGGCACAGACAGCCCAGTCATGTTAAAGCTAGAGGGGGCCTAATCCTTTGGGTTTCGGCCCCCGAGGAGGAGCAGGCCCTGGGTCTGAACAGTCAAACTCTTAAGTGGCTGACTGAGGTCACAGTGGAGCTCAGGACCCTTCCTAGCCAGAAGCTGGGTTCTGTCTTGGTCCTCAGGGAGGGCCTGGCTAAGCAGCAATGAAGGGCCAGTCGGCTGTCCCTGAGGGTGACCATGCTGGGGTGGACCAGGATGAAGGAGGGAGGAGAGGAAGCTTGGGACAAAAGTCTGCGGTCTAAGGAGAGTGGGTGGGCCTCTGTTAGCTTGCTGAGCTCGGCCAAGGAGGCTGAAGGACATCCCTTGGGGTTCAGATCTTCCTGCAGGCATCCCTGTATCTGCAGCCTAACCCGCTGGTCCTGCCCTCTGTGGACTGAGGCTCCAAAGCCACTTACAGGACCAAGGACTGTCGGAGCCATAAGACCTAGCTCAGAGACAGCAGGCAGATGCCCGCATTTACTCAGTGTCAGTGGGAGAAAAGTCCCCACCACCTCGGACCCACCCTGAGCCGCTTCCTGCGAGGCTGGCTTTTGAGGCCTCCTCTAATGGGATGGAGGCCCCATTAGCTAGCTTCCTGCCTCATGAGGGCCACATGGTCCGGGGCCTAAAAACTCCTGAAATACCATGGCAAGCAAGACTCAGTGTGCAAAGGGAAAGGACCAAGGCTGCCATCCAACACAGCTGCCTGGGAAGGCACGGCCCCGTGGCCTTATTGCCCTGTGGCTCCGTTGCCACGTGGCTCGTGCCATCGAGTAGCAGAAACCACTCACTAGAGGCAAGAGCTGGCAGGGAAGATCTGGGGTTCACACTGCGCTCACCGAGCTCCGCTCCCCCTCCCTCCTCTAGGTGGATTTTCCAGGTCCGTTGGCTCTGGTATTTAATATTCTAAGGTCCCTCCTGGCTCAGACATTCCATGTTCTAAGCCCCCTGACATCCTCTGCTCTCCAGACATTCCATGTTCTAAGCCCCCCGACATCCTCTGCTCTCTGGT